GGTCGGTTTTGCTTATGCTTTATACGAACCTCAATTATACTAAATTACTTACTGCCAAATTTTGTATATTCTTAAATATATGCACTTTGATTGTTTCATCTCCAATACTTTGTCATCTCCAATACTTTGATTGTAATCATTTTGTTACTATTAAAAACTTACTATTAAATTTAATCTTGTTGCTTGATAAATTGGGAAAAATAGAACATCATTCATAACAGAATCATTTAGTATATGACATCAATGTGAAAAACTGCAGAGCCAAGTTTTCTCAGGGAATAAAAATGACTACACTCAAGCTACAGAAAAGTTTGTCGCATTCTAAGTTTTGTCAGTATTCTTCTGAATCCAAGCTAAGATGTCCCTGTTGGTTTGAATTTATTACCATTGTATAATAGTAACCAGAGAATAAAGCACCTTTTATTGCCCAAACTGACATTTTACTCCCTTCCTCTTGTTTCGTTTTGGTTTTCATCCTTTTGAAAGAACTGCTGTGTACTGTATGCTTCACGGTCTGGGTATCTTTCAGTATACTTTTCCTTTGTGTTCCTTCTGAGTTACTGCATTATTCTATGTAGAAAAGTGCCCCAAATGCAGGGGTCCTTAAAAATCATATGTTACAATTATTGGTATGTGACAGCAAAGACAAAGCAGCCCGTGCCAGTAGGAACCAGAAGCAATATGGCAAATTCTCAGTGGCATTGAAGTTCCTGGCTATATGAATGCACATGAATTTGAGATTTTATATACGAAAAGTAAATAAAATAATTCTGATTCATATTAGTATGGATACTACATAGGAAATTTAATGGTATTTTCTTCATTATTTAAAAATTCTTATCTGAATACAGAAAATGCCTAAAGGACGTTTGAAATTGAATTGAAATTTGAAATTAAATTTAATTTTAGTTGAAAGGACCAGAAACACCTTCTGAGGTTCTGTTTTTCCAATTTTTCATTCCAGCCAGTACTTGGCAATTGTTCTTTAGTGGCTATTGAAACTTCAGTGGACACATCATTTTGCAAAAATCTATTATCATTCATATTGATATTTTAATTTCCAGAAAGACCACTGATGGAAGAACTGTGGGCCTTGTGCAATTGAATTGATTTGTTTTTATGGCCAGATGCTGTGTGGAAACAACTTTGCTTGTGCTGTCACTTCCTGTTGATCCCAAATCCATTTCAGACTATGTGATAGCATTATGGGAATGAATATGGGAATAGGTAATGTTTTCAAATAAACTAAAACTGAAATGTGATTAGCTGTGGATTCTTCTCTTCCATTACTTGGGCTTTAATATCAGTCATATAAGAAAGTGCTCCCCCCCCAAAAATATCTTACCTTTAATAATAGATTGCCATCTGCAACGTATTTTGATCTTAAAGCTACAGAATCCTCATCCATGAGACAATTTCTAGTAATTTCTGACAAAAAGTGGAATAGCTTTGGGGTAATCTCAGCATCTGCCCAGCTGCTGCTGTGTTGGGCATCCTGGTGTAGCACATACTACGAAGGGCCACCAGCCTCCAACACGAGCAGGACGAGGCAGGAGGGTGACTCGAGGGAAAAGCACTTGCTTCCTTGGGTTTCCTGAGTGCCCCTTGGAGGAGAACAGCCTCAAAGCTGGCAGGGCTTTCCTCTCCAGGATTTCGAGGCACAGAGCTGAGAGGCAGGAACATGCTTCCTAGTCCCTGGCTGTCTTGGATGAGGTGTGATGCTCAGGTTATCATGGTACCTGAGGGCCTGAGCCACGCTCCTGATGAACTGTGCCCAAAAGTTCAAGAAGGGGTTTTTAGGAATTGGATCTAAGAAAACAAACCTCTTGTCTCTCATTTGGCACCTGTGTGCTAAACCTTTGGGCCCAAATGTCCTTTGAGATTTTTGATGAGCTTTTAGCTCTGGACGATCTTTAACTTTTTCAATGACCTTTGGCTTTTTGTTACCTATGACCCCTTGATAATAGTGATGCTTCTCCTTTCTTGTGACCTTTGACCTCTGTAATGACATTTAGCACCAGCACT